TTTTTTTTTTTTTTTTTTTTTTTTTTTTTGTCACTTTAAAACTGGGCGAGTGTTATCTGCGCTTCATTTTGGTGACCTCCCAGGGGTGGGTGGGATATAACTTTACACGCGCGGATGCTCTCCTGCTGTTTATTTTATTTTTTTTTTTTCCGCAGCGGGGGGAAGCATTCCACACTGTGTTCAGATTTCTTTGCAACGAGTTCACTTTCACATTCACCTGCACGTTTTTTTTTTTTTTTTTTCTTTAAAATATCGCCGTTGCGCGTTATCCGATTGAATGTTCCTTATTCCTGCCCGCGTGCAGATCCCGTTCTCTTCGTCCATTTTAATTTCCTTCACTGAGATGGGTCCAATGCGGTAATCTCCTAATTGACGTTACAAGTAACTTGATTTTTTTTTACCCTTGGGGACTATTATCCACGTGGGGCAATTTTTGCAAAATTGTGTTATGCGCATAGGGAAAAAAAAAAAAAAAAAAAAAAAAGGACAGTACAGTACAGTACAGCGAACACAGCAAGCATAGAAAAGCACAGCACAGGGGGGTCGGCGCAAATTAAAGTTGTGGACCCATAATTGGAAAGTTGAAATTGACTCAAATGAATTTGTCCCCCCCTCCCCCTCTGTGTGGAGGAATGGGGACGCGGTAAGGCAGCATGTTTGTGCAAAATGCGCGTGGGAAAAAAGAAGGCACTCAGCTCCTATCACATCGCTCGTCGTTCTAAAGCCGCTTTAGCTGGAGTGACGGCTGGCAGACATGTTGAAGACCAAGGCGCGCATGTTGAGGTAAAAGCGCGCCAAATGGGCCAAGGAGGAAAAGGAAAAGAAGACCTTCTGATGTTCCTCAAAAATTGTGACGAAGGAATTCACATTCTTCTTTTCCTTCCCCGTTGCAGCATCCGTCCCTTTCAACAGTTTTACCTTCCGTTGGTAATTGTGAATAAAGTATAACAGGTAATAAAGGAAGTAAACAATTTTGTTTAATTTTTTTTTTATTTTTTTTATGAGTCTTTTTTTTTTTCTCTTGAAGAGCACGTCGAAATAAAACCCAAGAAAGTTGTCCTTATTTTTTTTTATAACATTTCTCAAATTCATAATTAAGCTTTTGTCTCTGTCGAATGTTAAGTTGAAGTGGACACAAGTTATCTCCACCTTGATCATGTTTTGCTTGCGCATGATGGTCCTCTTGTTTCGGTGGAACATCACCAAGTACTCGTCACAGAAGAGGAGCAAATTGCGCTCCTGCTTATCGTGTAGGTAATCCAGCACGACTAGGTTGCGTCTGCCAAATGGGGAGTAAGAAGAAAAGGGAGGGTTATGTGTAGGTGTGCTTCTCGCCCGACGTACTCATTACGCAGTTGGCGCGATGTACTCTATACACGGTTGCCTCTTCACGCATGGGGGCCCTACATGAGACGGCGGTCCACTGAACTGCACACCCGGGGGACGTATTCATCGTGCATGATTTTGTTCCTTCTGTAGAGGGACAGGTAGGAGGGGAACTCCTCGTCCGTCTGCGTTGTGAAAGGGGGGGGGGGGAGTAGGATAAGTGCACGTTTGAACACATGTGTAAAGTTATGTGTTGCGTTGGGCAAATGCATTGTGTGTTAGGAGGCCACCTCGCTCGACAGTTGTGGTTCATCGCTTCCTCATTACCTTAGTGGCCACCTCACCACCTGCTGGAGGGTCTGTTCGGGTCTCCAAAAAGTGCTTCAGTATGTTCATCTTTTCTGCCTTAAAAAAGGTTGTCCCGTCTGCCTGGTGGGATTTCCCCCTCTGGTCTCCTCCCGCCTGGCAAGGGGTGGCACCGGAGGTGGTAGCGGCAGTGGTAGCCCCATCATACAGGTAATAATTAATGCTTGACATGATGTCCTTGCCCAGGGTCCTGAGCGTGTTGTTAAGGAGGCTAAAGTTGTTCTGGTGCTCCCCTTCGGCACTCTGCTGTTCTTCCCCCTGACTGTGGGAAGTGTCCCCCGCGATGCAGTTGCTCCCTCCATTTTCTTCAAAGAGGGACATCCTTTTGCCATTCTCTAGGTAAAAGAGATCTGTATTTAATTTTTTTTCAATTTCCCTCTTCTTTGTCCTGACGTAAAAGTTGGAGTCGCTCGAGATGTTCCTGTGGTCTTCCACTTGGACGTGAGAGTCGTCTTGCCTCCTTCCCCTGAGACACGCGCTGGTCAGACTGGTGTGTCTTCTATTATGTCTGTGCTTTGCCTGGCCTCTAACGCCGCCAACCGTGCCAACCCCGCTCACATCGCTAACGCGGCTAACTTGGTCAACGCCGCCAACCGCGCTAACACCGCTGTTGTGGTCGACGTTAAAAATGGCGCTATCCATGAGGACGTGGAAGAAGCTGTAGTAGTTGCTTATGTATTTGTTCACCAAATTCATCCTGGTCAGATAAAAAAAGAGACCCTTGTAAAGCTCCTTCATATAAAAATTGAAGAGGTAGTTAAGAAAATCTTGCGCGTCCCTTTCTCTAACCCTAGTGAGACACAGAGGACTGATGGTAACGTCAGCGTCATCCATATCGTTCAGGTAAGTCAAACGAACCGCTAACTTACACGGCCCTTTATTTTTATACTCATATATGCTGCATGTATTTTCCTTGTGGAAGGACAAGTGAATGTTCAAAGTGGACACTTGGAAGGTGCCTATTTTGAGTTTTTTCTTTTTTCCCCCCTCCAGGATGCTATGGTAAATGGACCTGTGATTGCTTGCTCGGTTCAGATCGGCACCGCTGTTTCGTATACGAGGAAGACGCACATCGGGGAGTGAACAAATTGGTGAGACACTCTCTCCTGAAGAATTTCCACATTTGGTGGAGAAAAAAAACTGGAAGTCATCCTCCACCACTTTTCTACTCCTTGGTGTTTTTTCTCCCCTCCAGAACTTCTCATAGCAGTAGGAAAAATTTTCCACCACATCCAAAGTTACCTGAACATGTACAGGTGAAAAAGCCAAATCGAACTTCTTAATGTTCCACTCGTTGCGGTAAATTTCGTACTCCATGTGTAGGCGTGCCAAACAGTTGATGCTATTGGGGTTGTCCCTACAGACCCCTTCACTCCTCTCCAGGGTCATGTATCCCTCTCCCCTGTGTTGACCTCCCTTCACTTCATATTTGCAAAGTACTTTCTTCATGTCGGCGGACGCGAATTCCTTTATGATGGCATCTCCCAGGGAAACGAGAATTACGTTTGGCATGTTTTGGTGAAGACTCACCAACATGTTTGTGTTTTTCAACATGAGGGTACACAAATGAGAGTTTTTTTTTTTTTTAAAGAGATCACGCTGAGAGGAGTGAGTCATGGTATGTAGTCGTGTATCATTCGGCATGCTTCCCAATCCTCCTTGCCACTTTTCCCCTCTCTCCACAAATAACTTCCTCCCCTCCCCACTTCCCTCCACCAACACAGTTGAAAAGACATTTATGCGTATGCTCTTCGCGATGCTCAAGTAGAAGTGTAGAGCATCGTCCGGTGTTCCCTTCTCCCTCTTGGTGAAAATAACCTTGTACTTGTTCCTACTCTCAACGAGAGTGACGTTTTTATTCTTAAAGTGGCAATACGTGGGGTGTTGCAATGGTCGCCCTTTTGTATGTAATCGTTTTGGGTATGCCCCCCTGTTGAATTTTCTTCCATCATGAGTTGTTCCTCCTATTACGCGTTTTGTCCCTTTAACAGAAAGAAGGTTCCCTACCCCCCCTCGTTTCCTCCTCACGAATGACCCAGCAACAGTTGCATATTTGTGGAGAATATTTATTTGCTTATTGGGGAGACTCCTATACGGATCGCTTCCTCTTTCATTTACTTTGTCGAGATGGTGTGGAGGAGCAGGTAGGGGCTTCACAACAGCGGTAGTCTCCTCACCGTGTGTTAACGCCATGCGGGGGGTACCTATCCCAGGTTTGAACAACGTGTTCATATTAACCTTCCCACGGATGTGCACGATATTATCAATATGTTTGGAGATCTTGAGGAGGATTTTTTTTTTTTTTCCTTTTTTGCTCAGAACGAATGTTTCGAGGATGATGACCAGGGGGGGATCATCAGGCGGGGTGCCACTTGCACAGTTGCGCGTAAAGGTTAGTACGTGCTTCTTCCTCTTAAGAGAAAACTTCACAATTTGGTATGTCTTTGCATGTCGCCAAGGATACACCACGAGGAAGGAGTTCTTAACATTTTTGTTTTTCCTCAGGGGGAACAAGAGTATCTTCTTTCTCCCTATTCGTCGCAGCTGTCTGAGGTTGACCTGAACAAATTTTTTCAGTTCATTCACATGATTCGAAATGTAGCTTACATTTTGCTTGGTCAGCTTGGCTGTGTCATAATTGGTATTCTGTTCTTGTTCAATCAGCTCATCTGCACTTGAATTATCATCACTACTTTCTATGAGGAAGATGTTTCTGAAGAAGCTTTCCTTTGCTCTGTTGTGTTGTCTTACTTGAGAAGCACAACGATGATCCACTGTTCCTTTTTTCCCTTTTTCATACCTTCGCTCTATTCCCTTTTGGTGTGCAGTACAATCTGCATGAGTTGGTGTACATGCGGTGCTCTCCTGTTCCAGCACTTTCTTAATCATATGTACAAACTCACTAAAGTGAAAAACATCAAACATGAGATCTATTTCCATATCATTGTACACATAAAGTTTTTTTACTTGTTCCTCTTCTTTAATAAAATGGTAAATGTTCATCAGTGTGTTCTCCTTTTCATTGCTTTCCATAGAGTGCATTAATACATTGGGGGAGTTAATTTTCGTGAGATATTTTTTCATTTTGTCTTTCTTCCTTCTATGATTGGAGATAATTATGAAGAGGGAGTTGGATCCCCAATGAACTCCACTCTGTTCTTTTAATTTACTTCCTTGTATTATTTTTATTTTAAGGTGCAAAAATTGTGTTTTTATTTTTTCCCTTTTACCTGACTTGTGCAGGTGATTTTTATCTCCATTTTGAGGTAAATTTTGCGATTTGCTTGATGAAGATCGCCTATTAGTGAAGCATAAAATGTAGGATCCTTCTTTTGTAATGTCTATTCCTCCACTCACAAAAACGTAATCGTTATTACTTGCGTGAGATTTGCCAATTTGAAAGAAGAAGCTCCGTTTGTCATTCTCCAGGAGGTTAATAACTGATCGAGACCTTCGCTCAAATGTGTACATTACTGCGTCACTACTGCACGAGGAGGACATGACGACGTTGAAGTTGGTTTGGTTCAGCATGACAAACCGAGGGTAGATAATGAGCAGGGAGCTAACTCTGCTGTACCGCCTACTGCTTCCAAGTGAGCCATTTTTTATATATTCCAGTGCGTAGTGCGATGAGCATTCTCTGCCTCTGTGTTTGTCCCCTATTTTTACCTCTTTAAAGCTGTTCATATTTACGCTACTAATTTTGTAATTCTCCACGTGGATGCTGCTCACGAGTTCGTTATACACGCCAACGTAGAGGTTGAGACGCTTCAGTGGAAAGGTCAGGGGGGACGAGAAGCTCCTTTCATGGCACTTATCTCCACTGCTAACTCCCCTGGAGGAATGCACGAAGTAAATCCTCTTCCTGTTCACCTCGACATTTTTCAACTCATAGGAGTAGAGGCAAATTAACGTATGGCAAGTGATGATAATTTCCTTGTTCCATTTTATAACATTTACATGGTACTCAGTGATATCCTCGTGACGTTGCTTTTGCAAATTGAATCCTTCCATTTGTGCAGAGCTCCTCTGAGGAGGGAATTCCTCCTTGACTTCATTATTGTGTAGGTGATGAGTGGTAGTGGGAGATGTGAATAGATCCCCCAGGGGGGAGAAGCCTAACCGCTTGTCGTAGGTTATATTCATCCTGCTACCTCTCAAGGTGTTCCAACTTAGGTTTAGATCCAGGTCGTTAGAAAAAATTTCCTGCGATGAAAAAGGTTTTACGCTGCGTAAGGTGTTTCCACTCCTGTAATGCACCCTAATAGGAAGAGTATTTCGCACCTTTGCCATTTGTGAAATATTAAGGTAGAGCGACCCGTCGTCTGTCTTCTCATTTTGAATCACCGTTAGGTTAGTCAAGATGCAGTCGTCACTGCTGCTCCAGTTGTTGCAGAGAAATTCGTCGTTTAAAATCGTTTTAGCTAATTTTCTCCTCATGCAGTTGTATATAGTGTATTGGTTGGAGAAGTCGCTAGGGGGGGTCTCTGTCGGGGGAAACTCCCGGGTGAACTGCTTACTAGGCTCACTTGCATCACCTCCCCCATTCGCACAATTTCTACCCTCATCTGTTAAAAATGACTGAGCCGTGTTTCGCACTCTGCGCAGGGGTACCAGCTTGACGGCTGCTCTACACAGGAAGCTGTTCGTGCGGCGATCCGGTCTTAACCTGCACGCAAAGTACTTTTTATGAGCCATAAACTGGTGCAGTTTTTCCTTGCCCACTAGATTGGCACTCTTAAATTCTTGCAGAGATAGCTTGCTCGAAATGAATAAACCCTTTTTGTAAAAAAGAATCAACACGAAATGATCCCGCTTCATGTTGCATCTGTGTCTACTCAAGTAATTGTGTCTCTTTGCAAATAAAACGATCCTTTGGTTGTTAATCAGGAGCACCATATCGTAGTTCGTGTCATTGTAAATGCACACAGGTGAGGAGACGACGTACAGGGAGTGATCACATGAGAGGACAAGTTCACCGCTTCCACTCCACTTTGATGTTAGTGATGGGAATATGAAGCTTTCCATTTGTCTTACGTAGAGCATGTGTACCGGGTTGCTTCTATCAAATGGGGAGTGACTTATTTCGCTGCTTCTGTAAGTCGCCACTCGTTCGTACGTCCTATTCATCACTGCGTAATCGTCGTGGGGGAAGTTGTAGTGTTTGCTTCGCAGGAGGGTCCGCAGCTTCGAACTTGTTTTCCTCACGATGGTGGAGCCACCCGCCTTGTCTTCCCCTTTTGCACAATTGTGTGTACGCCCCCCTTGTTCATAATTTCTTCTGCTCCTTTGGATTCGCCTGGACTGGGCACGGCTGGCCTCGTTGTGCGTGTCGCAGCTGGGGTTTGTGGAACATCGGCGAACTGTGTTGGGGTCAGTGATTTGGTCTCCTTCTTCTTCTCCTCGTGCACTCCCCCCATTGGGATAGCACCCCCGGTGGGCTACTTCCCTGGCGCGATAATTCCTCCAGTCGTTGGCCTCCTCGTACAGCCGCAGAACAATCCTAAATGCATTTTTCGTGAGGAAAATATTCACCCCCTGTTCCTCCAACAATACGATGAGGTTGCCTTGCTTCCGTGTCCTAATGCAAATAACCTTCAGCCGCATCCCCCGAGTGAACTCCTCATAGATGTTATTTTTTGCAAAATTTATTTGTAGGGACATATCTGACTGATGTCTTTTAAAAAGAGTTTCGTTCTTTCTGTGACATGTAAGATATTCATAATTTGCCTGAACATGTACATGCGAAATTTTGCTCTTTTTGCATTTCTTCAATTTTCTGTAGTACACACTTTCGAATACGTGGAGATCCAAACTGGACAAAACGACCCTCACGATAAAGGTGGAATAATTCATAATCTTCATCCTTTTTATTTTGCATTTATGTATGTCTTTTTTTTTCAAGGATGCCTCACTCAATTTGAACAAGCACACGTTCACCTCCTCGTGCCTGTTCATTATATATAACACTTCGTATAACTTACTGCATAGGTAGAAGAGGTCAGGTAATTTTATCACGAAATTGGCTTTTTTTACATGCACATCGATGTACTTTGGCTTCGCACAGGGGGTTTCCATGTGAATGGAGTTTTTTCCCACGTCCACACTGGTGCTGGGTGGAGTGGGAGAGGTGAAGTTGAGTCGATGTTGAGGTCCATGTTTATGTTTCACCCCTATTGCCCTTTCCCACTCAAGCGCACCATCTTTCTGTTTGTATGTGGTAGAAGCACCACTGTTCGAGTTGCCTTTCCTTAAGTCTAGCCCATTGTTATCCCACAACTGTACATCACATAATATTTTTTTTTCCTGTGCTGATTTGTCGTCTTCTTCCGAATAAGAAGAACTCCTCCTGAGCAAATTGTCGAGAAACACCTCCCTGTAATGTAGTCCCTCCATTTTAACATTCTTCTCGTCACAATTAAAATAAATCACCTTGTCATTCCGGACACTCACACACAGATTTATGTTCCTACTTATACAGTAGGACCCCTCTCGGTTAGTCAAATATAAATAATTCTTCCTTTCTACGTCACACTTGAAGTAAATGTGTTCATCCATTTCGTCCCCGATGTGATCAATTGCGTGTGACACAAAATTTGCTAATTTACCTGACTTGTTCAGGTGATTTTGAAAAAAATTGTCCACCACGTAATTATTAAAAAATATGTATTTTTCCTTTTTTGCAAATTTTTGCATGATACTTTTGCGCAGATTGAATGATAAGAGAAAGTTGAGGTTTCCCTTGTAGGTCAGTCCAAATGGGTGCGACTGTCCATCTGCTAGTTGCTTCGTTCCATTCGTTTCCTCTTTTGCTATGCCTTTTTGCCTCCTTCCCCCGAGTGGAAGTTTCCTTACGCCAAGTACATTTTCGTAAAAAAGAAAATTGAAGCTGCAATGGACGTGTCTCATTTGAACCTGCACAGTGTATACGTTGTTGCTTCTAGCGACGCTGTTATAATTGCTAAAATCGGAGCTGCTCAACTTTTTTACCATCCTTTGGTAGGCTCTGACAATACGTCTTTCGAGTGGTTCCTCTGGAGGGGCGTTTTTTATACTTTCCAATTTGAGTGTTTCCATGCTCGTTTGGTGAGGCGTCCATGTGTTGTGAGCGGAGTGCCCCTTCTTGAAGAGTTGTTCCTCGACTAATTGCTGCCCTTGTGAGAAGGGCTCCCTTGCGCACAGCTTGATGTGGCCCTGGCCACGGAATACCTTTTCCACTCTACTGAGGTGCAAATTGCGGTCATCCACAAAGTAGAAGGTGTACAAATTGAACAACTGCAATATGTCCATGTTCAGGTAGATCCTCTCCATTTTAACACTCACATGATTCGTTACGTGGCACCCCAGTTGATCTTGTCTAATGCGCTTGTACATAACGTGGAAGGTTTTTCTTTCTCTCCTTTTCACGCGTTCATATTTTCTTAACTTGGTCTTTAGAAGACAATTGAATGACTCGTAGTTGTGTTCTACATATGACTGGTTCATGCGAGCTAGCCATTTGGCATATTTCCTTGGGTTCAACTTTGTGTGACACATAAGAATGTCGTAGGGGTAGTGATAGAACGTGTTCATGACGAGGGGTACAATTCCCTTAACGTACGTTACCATATTTTCCTCCCCTAAGTATCTCACCGTTCGTGCAAAAACGAATTTTGCAAAGAGGTAATTCATTCTGCTGTGTAAGAAGTCATTTTGAATTTCTACACGTACGTGCAAGAAGTGCAGACGCACATCCAGGTCTTTGACTCGTCGTCCTCGATTACTACCTAACTGATTCGTATTGTGTACCTCTGCGTGTAATTTATTTGCATTTAGGGAATCTCTCCCCTTGTAGTGCCTGCCCTGTACATGCTCAAAATGATTGCCCAGGACATTTTCGAGGAGGATGTCCTGCAGTAGTTTGTAGCTCCTGGGGGAGATGCGCAAGACGCCAAAGGCATAAACAGAAAGAGTGAATGGTTTAGGCAGTCGGGACAAGAGACTCCTGGTGTGCATTATCATCATATTAACATTTCTTGCGATGAGAGACCCATCCATTGAATACATATTCATGTTTAAAAGGTAAATGTGTGATTTGTCCAATATTTCAATTTTTTTTTTTTTTTTTTTTTTTTTTTTTCACCTCAATGTGGTTTCTTACAACTACATCGTTTTTCGCTAGTAGGAAATTTCTGTTGTTCGTCATGGATGGAAGGAAGAGAATGACTTTGTTTAGAACGAGTTGATATTTGTTCAGGCTGACTGGAAGTGTTTTCAATTCGCTTCTTTTGACTTTGTACCCGAGGTAGTGCGTCTGTTTTGTTTTGTCCACGTGGCTCCCTTCTTGTCTCTTCCGTGCAATGCTGTTTCGGAGAATGAACGGGTCTGCCACCTCTGCTTTGCAGAAGTGCAGGTAGGCACTCTCGCTGTGCATACATTCCTCCGAGCGGCCCTCTACAGGGTTTACCATCACCTCCTCCATGGCTCGCCTCACCGAGAAGAGGTAGCATGCGTCGGTTAGAAGGTACTTGTTCAGGAAGAAAAAGAAGTCATTCGTTTTGTAAATCATCCGTAGGCCCCTCCCTCTGATGAGCGTCTCTGAGTTGTACTTTCTGCCCCCCCGAGTGGGGGAGTCCATCACTTCGTCCACATTCCTCACAGTTGCCTCCACGGTGAAGTAGCGTCCCGCGTCGCCACCCAACGTACGGCTCCTTTGTGGAGCAAGAAAAAGCTTGTAAAATGAAGGAGAGAAAACGTCCGGTGAGGGGAGACTCCCCTGATGGGAAAATCTTCTCTGCTCAAAATGGAAGAGCTGAAAGTTTTTTTTCGAATGGGTCCTCTTCCGGACCTTCACCTTATGAGCCTCCAAATGAAGCTGCAGAAAGTTGTAGCGTTTTATATGTTCCCTGTGGAGGGGATCGAAGTACAGGAAAGACAACCGTCCCTCTAGGCATAAAGTATATTCACTTCTCCTGAGTTCATCATTTGTAATATTTTGTAACTCATGCATGGAACGCACTTGGTCAGCCGACAGGAAGGCTACTTGGCTCTTTATATCTACTTGGAGTTGGTACTTCACCAGCTTGCGTTTGTTACAACGTGACTGAATTATTTGCTTAATTCTTTTTTTGGAGGGAAGAGGGATGGGTTGCTTAGGTGCCTCTCCCTGTGTAAGTTTGTCTTCCTCGTCTTGGTAGTTACACAGGGTGGGTGATCCTTCTGCGAAGCAGCTTTCGCTCATCTGAGTGGTGCTTCTTCTCCGTGGGAGGAAATGGTAAACACGTCTTCTGCCTCGACTTCCCTTCATCCCGACCTGCAACAATCTGTTTGATTTGTCCCCTCCCCATGGTTGTCTGCTCACGCCTCCCCCCCAGTCGACTCCGTTCACCATCCTAAGTAGAGCGGCGTACAGCTCGTACATAACAAATGTGCAAAAGGTCACGCGCGCGACATTGCGCATATCCACATGCACCTTTTTATTTCTGAAGCAGACGACAATATCGTAGCGGCTATTGGGTTGGCGCAGCGGTTCACTTTTGCCCCTTTGCGATGAGGCCCTGCGGGATGGTACCCTTTGCGATGGTACCGTGCCCCTCTTAAAGACGCACACCTGATTCAGCCTGTTCGGCAGTTCCCTCACATGTACGCCCACGTTGCTCAAATAGAAGTGACTTCCACACGTCCTACTTTGCTTGGAGGACGATTCTTCCTTCGAGGCGAAATTCAAGAGGTACAAAAAATTGCACGTCACACTGATGCTGGACAAGGGAGGACCTTCTTTGGTGACCCCCTTTAATAAATTCATATCTGCATGACCAATGTATTTACAGACTCTCCTATATATATAAAAATTGCGCGAAATGCAGAACAAATGTACTAGGCAATTTTTAAAGGTTAGGATTATATAACTGTTGGAGTGGGTATGTGTACTGGTGGTGTCGTCACGTCTTTTCTTGTTCCTCCTGAGTAATGTTCTCCTCATTAATGTGGTCGTCATTAGTGTGCGCCTCATTAATGTTCCCCTCACAGGGAACCGTTTTTTTCTCCTTCCATGTTGGCAACACAGCAGGTACAAGTCCTGCACAAAGATTACATGCTCTGGTAGTAGGTACCATGTTGACACTGCTGCATAGACCATCGTCACTGAAGAGAGTCTTCCTCCCTCCTGCTTCCTCTCTCTTTTACAGGTGATGTCCATGTGGTCACTTATGGCGTACTCATAAAGCACCCCCTGTTTATAATATACCCACTTTAGTATGACTTTGTTCAGGTAAAAGTGGGGACTCCCTTTACACATACTGCCCACATGTACATGTTCATGCTGCTCTGTGTTGAACATTCCCCCCTGGTTACTCTCGCATGGGTGATCCCTAACCGCATGATTAGTCACTTTTTGCACCTCCAGTTTGAGCACCCCTTCTGTTCCCTGCTGGGTAGACATGCCGTAGGGTAGCTCCTCCTCTCGAGGTTTCTCATTTGGCGTACTCTTCAACAGGACTGACTTGTTCAATTTTTTATTTACATAAACGGTAAAGTGAAAAAGTGACATGAGGACTGCTTCCGTTGGGGAGGCAATAACTCCCTTGAACTTGTCCCTAGCATGTCCTCCTCGTAACCCTAAGCCGGCCCCGAAAAGACTGATTAGTCTGCTCTGTATGGTTAGTAACTCCTCGAGGTGTATTATTACACATGAGTTGTATAGACTCAGTCGGTACCTATTACATCCCTCCCGCAGCAGAACGTTTTGTGCATGTGTTGTTGTATACAACGGGGAGGTTATACAATGCACCACTTCAACATCGTTCGCATTGTATGTGTCACGACACTTGTGCAGATCATCCTCAAGAGGGACATCACAAAGGAGCTTGTCATCCTGCGTCCCATTAATACAAATTACATTTTTTTCTGTCCACGTGAGGAGGGATTCTACTGAAAGGGAAAACATCTCCCATGGGTGTGTACATCTATACGGGTCAGCACCCCCCAGGGGGGTCTCAAATGTTAATTTTCGTCCCGTCGTTCGCACTTCTATGTCGCTGCCCACATGCAGCTTAACAATGAGGGTGTCCAAGAGAAAAAAAAAATTTGAAAAAAATTCTGCACCAAAAGTGACCCCTACATTTGAGGCAATTGAGGAAGCCAAGGGGGGGGATATGCTGGCCTGTTTTTTGTGGAGGAAGTTCCACATAGAGGAGTGTTGTAGACTGTTCCTCTGGAGGACCTGTATCAAGTCTTTTACGAAGTGGTCCCTTGGTTGCCTCTTCCCCCATGCGTAGAAGACTTCCTTCAGTTCGCACACTTGTGCGTTCAAGTAGAAGAGGGAGACAAACAGCCTCCTATCCTTAACAAAAAAGAAGACATTTTTCACGAGAAATGTGTTGGCTTGCTCGTTTTCCTTTCTCAGGTATATTTTTCTGCACCGGAGGTGGCTCGGGGGGTGGGGCGACAGATGGTCCTTGCGCTTGTCCGGAGTGACTTGGCCGTTTGGGTTGTCCCCAACTCCCACATGTATACTAGTCCCCCCTCCATAGTGGTCGAGAAAAAGGCAAACGTCACAAAGGGTCAAGTGGTAGGTGGTGCTCCTCTTGGTGTTACACTTATCACCACCCCCACACAGCTCCTCATGTGTGTGTGCATGGCGGTAGCGAATGTGTACACACAGCTTGCCGACCCGTAAAAAGTAGTGCTTAAAAATGGCTTCGAAAAAAAGGCGTAGTAATTTATTCCATATGAAATGAACAATCTTTTGCTGAAGCGATTCGTGTAGTAACCTCGCATAGGTGTTGTGATGCAAGTTGTACTCTTCGTACTCTCTCCAATCGAGTGTACAGCTTAGGGACTCGACGTGGATCTCCTTCTTCCCCCATGATGTTGCTTTGTTTGCTTTGTGTTCGAGTGTACAGCTTAGGGACTCAACGTGGATCTCCTTCTTCCCCCATGATGTTGCTTTGTTTGCTTTCCAATCGAGTGTACAGCTTAGGGACTCGACGTGGATCTCCTTCTTCCCCCATGATGTTGCTTTGTTTGCTTTGTGTGTTTTTTTTTTTTTTTTTTTTTTTGTGAAAAAAGAAATTATTTTTTTTATGAAATCGAATTCGAAGGAAATATTTTTCACCCGGACGTTTTTCAGTGGGATGTTAAGAAGGAGTAGGTGGGAAAAGAAGAGGAAGGTAACTCTAACTCTGTCGACGAGGATCTTGGTGTTTGCCAGTAGGTTGAGCAGCCAGCCGCTCATCTTCTTAGAGCAGTGGCTCAAGTGTTGCTTTTAAAAATGCGTTCCTTTTAAGGAGACCTTTTTATATATTTGCTCGATCGATAATGGTTCCCCTCCTCTATTGGCAATTTCCCCTTAAGCCAGTTTTGTCCTTTTTGTGATTTTTTTTTTTTTTTTTTTTTTTTT